ACAGTAATACTGCAGCTGTACTACAGTAATACTGCAGCTGTACTACAGCAATACTGCAGCTGTACGACAGTATTACTGTGCTGTACTGCAGTATTCCTTCAGTACAGGGTATGTCCTGATGTTTGAACTCCTGACCACAGCTTCCTCCGGAAGTATGAAACACAACAGGTGCTGCTGAGCTGTGGATGTGGGCTGGGCTCACCTGGGATGATGAGGAAGAGCACCTTGTGTGCAGAGGTTAGGGGGCAGGATCCAAACCTGAGCAGCTCCGTGGCGGCTCCGCAGCAGTAGAAGAAGTCTGTGTGTGGTGGGTCCATCATCAGCCCCGAGGACAGACACGCAGGTGTATCACAGGTGTATCAGCAGGTCCAAAGGTTCCAGTCTGATCAAAGGTTCAGACTGAGCTTCACATTCACAGCTGCAGGTGTTCACGCTGCAGGTTTCAGCTGGTCACGTGTCTCACTAACAGCTGATCTGAGATCTGAAAATAAGCTTTAACTGACCTGAAAACCCAACAACTAACTAACCACTAACTAACTAACTATCTATCTAACTAACCAACTAACCAACCACCGTTAACAGACTGCAAACTAAACCGTTCACAGGCTGACGTCACACCGGAAGCTGATACTATGACACGCTGTAAATAAAACTGTTTACCTGTCAGAACAATTACGAATAAGTACTACGATATCCTCTCCATGCAGGTGCTGCTCGCTTTCAACCGCTTCCTGCTTCGCATTGCTGCACGCTGATTGGCCAGTTGCAACGCAGCTTCTTCTTTTTATTGGCCGGTTCAGTTTCCAGCTCATTACCGCCCCCACGGGCCCGGAGTGTAACTACACCCGCTGTTAACTTGAACGTACCAAATGACAATTAAAATGGTAAATGGCCTGTATTTATATAGCGCTTTACTTATCCAGTCATCCACCCATTCACACACACATTCACACACTGGTGATGGCAAGCTACATTGTAGCCACAGCCACCCTGGGGCGCACTGACAGAGGCGAGGCTACCGGACACTGGCGCCACCGGGCCCTCTGACCACCACCAGTAGGCAACGGGTGAAGTGTCTTGCCCAAGGACACAACGACCGAGACTGTCCAAGCCGGGGCTCGAACCAGCAACCTTCCGATTACAAGGCGAACTCCCAACTCTTGAGCCACAATCGCCAAAATAAAATTATTATTTTATTTTGTTCATTGTTAGTCTTTAAAAAAGTATTTCATCCGTTATTTTTATTTTCCTCAGTTTATTGTGTAACGAGATTTACCTTTTTGTTTTGTCATACTGTGTATTTCAGTTTTTATAAGTCATATTTATCGTCTTGGCTTCTGTAACATATTTATATTCATCCCAGACTTTCAGATGAACATGAAGATAAATATCTCATCTTTAAATTCACATTAAATTGCATAAATGATAGAAATGACTGGCATTAATTTCAAATAAATACAACATGCATGTGCTGAAGTGAATTCGTCCTTTTTTTATGATAATAGTAAGAAAAATGAACTTTGCAATTTTCCTCTCTGCCATTCATTTTTGCAATTTATCTCATTTTTGCACATTTTAATATAAAGAAAAACTTTGTGAATGATTGTAAATAAAATTACACAAATTTGGGGGGATTGTTTCAGTTGCATCCAGACTGAAACTCTAACTTATTAAACCTGCGCCCTCTTTTTATTAAACATGTTTTCAGCAAAACCGAAATAAACAAAAAAATAATCAGTCCTTAGTTTTTATCAGCTGATTTAACATCACAAAATGATGTACATTCATTTGTGTGAAGTGTTTAATATTAAAGCCAGTCACTTTCACAGAGGCCCTCAGCAGACATCTGTGTTGGCAACACGTTGGTGTGAATGTGATAATAATAGTGATCCACACACTGAGCTCGTGTGGCTGTCGTCACACACGAAGTGCTTTCAGTTTTATCCCGGTTATTTTAGTTTCATCCTGAGCTCATTCTTACACCCTCAGAGCCCAGCACGGCCCAGACAGATGTGAAGGGTTTGTTCTTTGCTTTGGTCTGCTGGTCTGGGCCCAGGTTTGAGTTTTTGGGTTTAAGGGTCTTGTTTTTCATTTTTATATCTTCGAGTTACTTTAACATTTTGCATTGTTTGATTTTGGATTCTCCTCGTTCAGTTGCTTCTGTCTCCCCGTTGTATTTTGGTGGTTGCTGTTCTGTGTCTGTCTTCAGTTTAACTTTCTCCTGAGTCATTATCAGTTATCCTCAGCTGTGCTCCAACCTGCTGCCTCTCCCTCGTTATCCCTCATACATAATGTCATGGCTGTGTGTCTCGTTGTCTTCCTAAAATTCCCGGTGTTTGGATTTCCTGCGAGGGCTCAGCATTAAATGTTTGCTTCCTGAGTCCACGGTCTGCTTGCTGCACGGCTGGTCACTGGTTACACACATAATATCCCAATAATCAATCACAGGTCTGGTACAGGTGTGTCACAGATGGCCTCCCCCTGTATCTGTGTGTTGTTAAAAATGACACGTTCTCTCTGTGGCTGCCTGGCTTCCTCCCACACTCCACACACAAAGATGTGAGTGAGACTGGTTGTGTGTCCCTCTGTGTGCGACCCTGAGGAGGACGAGTGATGAAGAACAGAGAAGATAAAGTAATGAAGGCAGCAGCGTGAGGTCCATTGTTCTAACGTGAGGAGCAGATGAACTGACAAAGATTCACATCGTATCAGGTGTCTTTGTTTTGTCTGAGCTCAGTCATGGCAGCGCGCACACACGCATGCAC